TGAACCTGTTTGCTGTAGCTTCCACCCAATCCTCACTCGAGCTCTACATCACAAGCTGGACTTGACAGTTCTGCTCACAACTGCTTTAAAAATTAAACTCAGCTGCACTTGTAAGTCAGAGATCCTGCCTGCCCAAGACGCTTTACCCATGCTAATGCCGACCCCAGTGCAGAGGCCACCGCGACTTTGGTGTTTACCGTTACCCAGAAGGCCTGACAGGAGACTTGGTGAGCACGAGCATAAATATTTTGTATGGAAAAAATTCAGCTCAGCGCTCACAGGCTTATACAGCTCCTGTGAGAAGTGAGATGATCCCTAACGAATTCCTCCCTGTGAGAACGGACGCAGCGCGGAGCCGCAGCCGGGGGCGCAACCTGGAGCAAGTCGGCTCTGACCGAGAGCGACCCTGGATCTGCACAGCGGATTTAACGGATTTTAATCCGTTTCCAATCTGGAGACCACAGAGCTGGCATCTCGAGTTGGCCTAGATGCACTGGAGCTCTAACAGACGGATTCCCGGGGCGTCGCTTTGCATCCCCGCTAAGCAGAGCTGCGTTCACAGCCGCCCTCGCGGCGCTTGGTTTCTGCGGAGAGGAGCTCGCTGGGAAGACCCTCCCGCCCCACACACGGCGCTCGGCTGGAGCGACGCGGATGGAAAACCCTTCCCGGAGCTGCCATGCAGAGCAAAAGTGCAAAAGGAGAGGGAGGCCATGACTCTAACTCTCCTGGACTAGCTCACAGCAGCGCATGCAATAAGAAAATATTTTCCTTCTAGCAATACAATACTCTTATTTCTAAGAGTCAGAAACAGGAAAAGAAGGTGCCTAACGTTATCCGGAGCAGCCCGCCCAGGGCAGCGGGAAGCACCCAAGGGAGCCACCCTGGCTACGTGGGAGCAGCTCGGCCTCCCAGTGTCACCCCTAAGAGGGCAGGAATCCCCCCAATGTCACCCCCAATAGGGCAGGCATCCCCCCAGTGTCACCCCCAATAGGGCAGGCAGTGGGAGATGTGTCCAGAGCCTCTAGTGCTGCCTCAGACCACAGGGCCGCGGGTCACCCTTGCCCCCACTATGGGGGATGCTCCCTTGGACCCTTCAGGCCACCAGCCTCCGCACAGGTGCCACAGCAGACTGGAGACGTGAGGAAGACCCTGGGTGTGATGAAGACCAGCTGCCATAGGGGCCTTCCCAAGAGCGGCGGCAGCAGTGGCAGTGGCTGCCCAAGCACAAAGTTTCAATCATCAGCCCCAAATTTGGAGCAATTGCTTTGGGAACGTGAGTGGAGTAGCCGACGGATCCAATAGCAGCACCCCGTGAAGGGGCCCGGGGCTGCTGATCACACTGATCAGGCAGACCAACTTTAAATGACATCATTAGCTAATATGGCCTCCCTCTTGCATAAGCAAAGGCCGCCAGTGAGGAGGTTTAGCATGCAAGGGAAAAGGAGCCTTCAAAAGCAAGGAATCCAAACTGGTATTTGTGCTGTAAGTCCCAGGCCCCCTCCAAACCTAAATATCTAAATCCACAACACGAACCTGGGGAAGTTCTCTCAAATGCAAAGCTACAGTAATTTACAGACTCCTTTGAGTCTGTCCACACAGAACCCCCATGAAGCCGGCAACTCTCGTGGGGGATCCACTCACTGCTGGGGGACGCGAGCGGCACTCAAAGTGCTGTCCAGATAATTTTATTTTAAATAAGGATTAAGTTAAGTGTAACAAACAATTAGTTAGAGAGAGAGACTTCTCTTTTTTTGAAGAGCTGCTCTCTACCAAGAGCACAAAGATGCCTGTCATGTTACAGCCAGGGAAGAAGCGCATGCGAGCGCTACCAAAAAGTTGTTGGAAATATGGGCTGGAAACAGATTTAAGTCAATAGTGATATTCAAGTATAAGGCCTTGGTCAGGGATGTCTTGTATAGTCTGTGTGAGCTGTGTCACCTCGCATCCCCCTTCTGAAGAAAAGCCTCATGGCCACATATTGCTCAGAACGGTAATGAATCCCCCAATTTAAGGCAGCCTGTTTTGTCCCTTTGCCCCTAAAAAGTTGAAACATCCTGAGAGTTTAAAACATATCTATAGCTATCTATCCAAGCTAGATTTAACACGAGCTTATAGGCAAGAAACCAGGAATGCTGGAGTTGCTTGTGGTTTGGGAATTGGCGCTATTTGCCTTTTGGGGCTCAACAACTGCAGTTACCAAGGGATTAACGTGGAAAATGTGGTGAGATAAAGAAAATTTCGCTTGGAAGGAAAAATAATTTTTACAGAGCCAGAAAAACATCCCAGAACATGAAGGCAAAGCAGGACAATGACAGGACACTGCAAGAAAAAAAACGTAAGCAGGATCTGCTTACGTCCTTCCCAGGCATCCGCAAGGATCACAGCTTCTGCTCTCAGAAGCTGGGGTCTCCCTTAAGAAGACCAGAGCCCACCTGAGCGGTGATGAGGAGAGGAGGAATGAGGTCTCCCACTAAAAGAGATTAATAATTCTGCGCGGGGCGCTTCCCTCTAGGAACAACCCCCTGCTTCGGGCCCAGGAGCCGTCCTCGGCCGCTGCGCACGTGGAAGGTTTTCAGCGTGCTGCTCACGCGTTTGGCAAACTCAGCCCGTTGTTTATTCCCAGGAAAACAAGGACTTCCTTTTCCTCCTGCTGTCTAGCGCTCAGTCCACACTACCAAACAAATCCTCTTTCCTCCCTCATCTCCAATCTGAGAGCCGACTTAGCGACCCTCTCGCATCTAACTTGTGTTTATGATCTTTGCTAGCAGAGCCTACGCGTTAGGAACTGCTGCTTCTGATATAAGATTTTAAGGCAGCTGTCCACTGCAGAAGGAGCCTTCTGGGAGCAAATACAGGCAAGCACACAATACAGCACAGTGCTACTGAAAAATTAAGTTGATGCTTATACACTGTGACGCCCAAACTCTCATCAAATGGAGAGCAAAGGGTCAGTCATCAGAACAGTGAATAGAGGGTTTTAGCTGGCGTGAATGAGAGTTGTTTGGCAAAACCTCCCCCGAATCATTATCTCTGAATGTGTCTGCGGAATTTAAGCAGCAACAAAGAGGAAGCTGCAGAGCATAACTGTGTATTGAGTGGTGCCCAAGATGCAATGAGATTCCTGCTTAATATTGCAGACAAGATATTTCTGAAATTTTGGTAGTAGAGGATTATAGAGTTTGCACAGTGAAGAATTTTGCCTATAGCAACAAGATAAAAAATGCTAAAGAGTCTTATCTCTGCAGACATAATTACATATTTGGCAACCTGCACTGCAGCACTTCCACATGGGCTAGAGACAACTCTTAGCTGTAGACATTAAACAATAACTCTGCAAGAATTCCTCTGCTTTTTAATTTTCAGCACATTAGAGAACGTGAGTAAAAAGCCTTTATGTTGAAAGGCAGCAGGGGAAAAAATAAAACTAAGGCTCAAGAACATATGAAATCAATTTAAAATTGTGACACACTCCTCCCCTTTCAGATTAACTGCAGCAGAAGTGGAGCACAAAAGCTACCCAGAAGCAGCGAAAAACAAGCAGCTCCCTGAACCCATTCCCCAGGCTGAAAGTCTGATATTTATGAATGCAGGCTTCCTTTTTTGGGGGAGGGCTTATGAAAAAACACAGCTGCTACAGTTTCCCCTGACCTAAACACAAGACGTGACCCAACACAGAACCAATAAAACTTTTACAGAATTTAGCTATTATGTTTCATTAAATGTATTAGACTTGAACTTACGTGTTCATCTGAGGCATAAAGAACTTCCATTAGCCGATGGACAAGGTCATTATTCTCTCCCCCATGTTCTTGGCAGAGAAGTTCAATCTCCCTTAATTTGCCGAAGTAGAAATCCCTTTCCTTCTCCACGCCTTCAAGTGCAAGTTTTAATGAATGTACCTGTGTGTGAAGCAGGGCAAAGTTGTGAGGTGCAGCACCGAGAGAACAACTCACGCTGAACGCACGTGCGCTAACCATCGTTTGAAATACACACGTATGTCCACGTTTTCTCTCTAAAAGTGAATTACATGCTTTATGGAGTGCTAGACTGAACATTACACAATGCAGAACACTGAAGCAGGCGTCCTTGTAACATCTCTTGGATGCAGCTCCACCTTGATGCGAGATACGAGCACTCCTTGATGCCAGAACGTGGGGCAGCAGCCCAGGAGCCTGGCCTGCTTAAGCTGGTGTCACAGAAGGGTAATAGGTAAAACCCCCTCCAAACACTCTCAAACTTCAATTACCTTTTCTGACTGAAACTTTGTTCCCGAGTCTTCAAGCTGTACTGCCAGGCTCCGTTTCACCACTAGGTTTGCTGCTAATCAGTTATGGGCAACTTAACTATTAAAGAATAGGCTTTGCATAAACTGTGCCAGATGTTGCAGCGCTGTTTTTAATTTATTTTTAAGAACGATTCTGACAGAGCTAAACGGGTAAGTTACTTACTAGTGGGATATACACTATCAGTATAACACAGCTTCCAAATATATAAGGCAGTGGTGTGACAATGGCACCATCAATGAGGCTGCCCACGGCAACCTCACTGAGCCAGATATATCTGAATTACAGCCAAATTCGGTCTCATATTTTAAGGCCTGCAGTTATGTAAGTGAGTTTTCTGAAAAAAAACATGTTAAATAAATTCAATTTAATAATTTTTATCATATTTTAAATATTTTATCAATTTAATCATTTTAATCATATTTTAATCATATTTATTTTTGAGGATGATCAGGGGCCTGGAACATCTGCCCTATGAGGAGAGGCTGAGGGAGCTGGGCCTGTTCAGCCTGGAGAAGAGAAGGCTGAGAGGGGACCTGAGCAGTGTCTAGAAGTACCTCAAGGGAGGCAGTGAGGAGGATGGGGCGGCCTCTTTTCACTGGTGGCCACTGACAGAACTAGAGGAAACGGCCACAAACTGAAGCACCAAAAGTTCCACAGGAACTTAAGGAAAAATTTCTTGCCAGTGAGGGTGCCAGAGCCCTGGAACAGGCTGCCCAGAGAGGTTGTGGAGTCTCCTTCTCTGGAGATCTTCAAACCCGCTTGGACGCAGTCCTGTGCCACGTGCTCTAGGTGACCCTGCGTGTGCAGGGGTTGGACTAGATGATCTCTAGAGGTCCCTTCCAACCTTAACGATTTTGTGATTCTATTATTCTATGATCAGACTCCATTTAAGCCAATGAATACAAGTCAACAGAAAAGTCTCTACCGGCAGTTCTGCCCGACTGCAAGCTGATGGATTCCCTGAGCTCCCACCGGCCGCCCCGGCACCCAGCGCAGCCCGGGGTTGGCACCCTCGCCAGGGACCTCACAGGCAACTGCCTAATCGTGAAAGCAGGAACAGCGAAAACGAACAAAAGACGGAAACATCCCCATCTCGAGCTGTGCATCCTGTTCAACCGCGAGGAAGGGCCGTATTGGAGGCCTGCAGCAGTGGATTCCTTGAGAGCATCCCCTGCATCCGGACACAGCGAGACCTTAACTTCTCCAAGAGCTCCTCTGCATGCTAAGCTTGCCAAGCCTGAATAGCAGCTCCAGCACGAGCAGCTCGTGGCTCGGCCAGCCCCCGCCCCCCGCCCCCA